TTATTATATTTCTATTCTACAAATTGCTTTGAAAAATGAACACGGTATCTTATAGAAACAATAAATGGAGTCTGCATTTTTCGAACTAGGAAACAACAAGGTTTCTCCGCCTTTGGACACACCAAAATGGTGACTGACCGAGTGCGGTGAGAACAATGGCGGCACACGACGATAGAAGTTCGGCCAACGATGAAGTAAAACTGCCATTAGAAAGTCCCGGATGGGTGAAAACTTAGTCCCGACTGTGATATTTAATAACTCCCTCTTAGTTCATCAGCGATAACGCCCGCCGTGGTAGTGAGTGTCTTCCGGCCGTAATTTTCAGTCGAATTCCGTTATTAACGTGTAACGGAAACGGGCATTCGCGCGTGGGGTGGTAGACTAATCGTGGCATGCTACGAAACGTCATCGTGAGAAAAGCGAACGGACGAGGGAGATCTCTCGTTCGTTGCCGCGACTACAAACCGCAGAGCACATTAATTTTCAGATAAAACGTCGTTTCCGGACGTGCTTGATGGTAAAACGCTCGTTGCGGGTATTTGCATTCCGAAAGCATCGGTTTCCCTGATAATAAACTCGACGACGCCTCGCTTCGTATCGAACGTAAACAAGCTGAAATTTTCAGAGCCACAATGTATCGCTTGTTAGGGTGTATAAACGCGTATATACTCAATGGACCACGGAAGTTACGACGCCGTCGGATCGATACCACGCCGATCTCTTCATTGGTTCGTTTAAAGCTGAAAATACGCTTAGCGAACGATGATAAACAAACGCGTCGGACGTCAATGAATTTTTATGAATCTAAGCGATCATGAAATGGAACGGATGAAAATGTACAAGTAACCGATGCATCGAGCGCCATTACACGAGAACAAAGCTCCTTCTGAGAGGTCGCGATATACGGATAGTAAGCTTTATTTTCTTCTCTGTTTTCAAAATTCTAATGCGTTCTTTGGATTTTTAACAGATCTACTTTGTTCACGGACAAGCCTTTCACGGTAGGTATATCTCTTCATAAGGAAACAATTTTGAATAATGCTTCATAAAAAAATTATCCGTAATATCCGAGAAACTGCTTCTTTAACTTCAATTCGGAAACTTTTGGCATGATCCGTAAATGGAGGTGATTCGCAGTAAGGCTGGTGACCTTGAGCAGTCAATAATTCCTGCCCCTCGTGCAGTCGGGCCAAGACTAACGCATCCGGTCTTTCCATCTGATTACTTCGAAGCATCCAAACAACCATTCTAATCTCGAATAACGTTCAAAGTGATTAAGAACTTTCCTCGTACATCCAAAGTGATTCGTAGCATCCTGAGTTCTACGTGGCAGAAGGAGGGGTTGGTGATTGCAAGGAGGGGGTAGACAGACGGAAAGGTAAAAGGAGAAGTGACTGTAAGAAGACAGTAAGAAAGGAGAAGAGCAAGATAAAATGTAAAGATGAAGAGGAAAGGGGAACAGATACGGATGAGTGGGGATGTGGAGACGAGTGGGAGGTAAATAGAGGCGGGAGGTGGCGGATGGGGAGAGAAGAGGTTAATTTATCACGAGTCTCGTGAAGTTTTGCCGGTCGAACAAAGGCAGCCGCGAGTAAAGTTTCCTCCGAGCGATGTTTCACCGGGAAGGATAAGAAAATTCAAGTGGCTCCGCGACCAAAATAAAAGTCGTGTCTCCTGGTTGGACAAGATGGAGAGGTGAGTCTATTTACAAGATTTACCCTCGTCGTAATAGTTCGAAGCCGCTGCGACATGGGAATTCCATTCCCAGCCCGTCAAACGTTTTATTTTTCGTCAATTACCTTGCGCTAATTTGTGATAACACATCTAGCGAACCGATACCAGCCGCCAAGCCGCCTAAATCGAGGATCTCGTGTATGTATACTCAGACACGAAGGTGACAGTGTTTGTTATAAGCAACGAATCGCTTGTCTAAATATTCACTTTGGAAATTGACTGAGATTCCTGACTATTAGGCGTACGTGATCGTTCGTAGTTGAATCCGATGTGTTGATTTTCTACCATGACTGTAATTTCAAAGCCCCAAATCACCTGTATAAAACCATCTTATGTTTAATATAGATTCGATAAATATAGAAACAACTGGTGCAATGAGGTTTATTTACGTTGGTTTGAAGGATTTTCTGCAATGTATTAAAAAAATAATTTATAAAAATGTGACGTTCACTTTACAAAGCCAAAGGTAACCTACATATCTGCTGTCAACCGTCACATATCCAATAATTTCTTTAACCACAAATACATTTTCGAGTAAATAGAATGGGGTCGTATTGCGCAGAAACAAACGTTCAAAAAGAAAACGCCGGACGAGTATCTAATTAAAACAAAATACAGATGTAGGTATCTACTACCTACCCACTCGAAAAACGTGAAAGCGTATTTCAGAGAGGCAACGGTAACGGAAAAAGTTATCATGTTCGCGGAAGAGAGTGACGGGGTAGAGTCGAGTTCAAAGGGAAAGTTAGAGACTGAAGTGAAACAAGATGTTAATAAATAAAATATTATTTCCTGGCTTCCTTTGAACCAACACGCGGAACCCGAGAGGGCAGAGAAACAACGAGTTATATGTATAAATAATTATATATCTGTCCCTTTTGCCAGAGAAAATAAACCTCGTAGGCTTACCGAGTCTCGATGACTCGATGAACCTGAGCGGGCGGTAATGTCTTCCGCGCGAGCGAACTCGGTCACCCTTTGAATCGTTCCTTTGTATCTCGAACCCGAATTCGGTCACGTTGGAAATTTCGTTCGAACCGGGCGAAACGTAATCGATCTAACCCGTATCCCCGTGGAGAAAAAAAGACAACAGAAAAAGGAAGAAGTAATCTTTCAACGGAATAAAGGGGATGAATATTTAAAGAAATTCCAGCCGCTACCCCGGACAGAAATGGAAAAAAAAGGGTGGAGGATGGAGAAGGAATGAGTTCGCGCGAGTAATCGTGAGAGACGTCGAGCAATAATTCCTGCGCGTGCGATTTATCAAACCGACGCTCGTAAAAAATTCAAAGGACCGAGGGATGGGCCTCCTTTGAAAGCGACAGGGTGGGAGAAGCGCGGAGGGGAAAGAGAGAAAGACATCGCAGCGCAAAAGGAAGGGAGCCGATGGGAACGTGAAATTGTTTTCAAAGTCCCGGAAGAATTATGACGCCTGTACGTATGCGGCCGCGCATATATTCGCGGACAGACAGCGTCAGGAAATTAAGCGAACGGTCTCAAGGGCGACGTTCGGGCTTCAAACTTCGCCGAAACTTTTGCCCGACATTGTGGCCCGGGATTTATCACTTCCGAAGTGTCGAACCGCTCCGACCGCGGCTTACAAATAAATTATTTGCTGACCGTGACTGCTGTACAAACGTCGCGTCGCCTGCGGGGAACGTGCATATGTATGTACATTCGTGGACGAACATGTCGGCGAACTGACTGTTCCCTATCGAGTGATCGAGATCCACGTGTGCTGCATCACCGTACTTTTCTTTACATATTCACTGCTCGCTCTAACTGCAGTCCCTTCCCAGTACGAAACCCAGTGACACTATTGTAGGTAAGCTTGAACGAATATTTATTTGAATTGTTATTATTATTATTGGTAGATAATATGCGTTATCGACATTATACGATCTTCTGATTTCTAAGATGCTCCGCTATTTTTAAATAAGAAAAAGGTCGGTTACCTATTGGTACAACTGACTACACGCGACGGAAACACAGCTGTTAACAGAATTGCTGAGAACCTGAAATTTAAGTTACCGGTAGGTAAGTACTATATTCGAACAATTTATCCGAATAATAAGGGCTAAAATTAGTTCACTGTTCTGACGCTTCCTCGGTATCCGGAGAAAACTGTATTCAACGTCGGATTCTAGTTCACGAACTAACGAGTTGGAACTACTTCGATAAGTAGCCGGGAAGTGGTTCCGTTAACTCGAAGAAAAATTAAGCCCGTTGTCGGGCCTCTGTCCGGATAATTGAATTTCCGAAAGACAATGGAACTTTATGACTATCAAGCTGATCGGGAGTTGGTTTCAACTGCTCGCTTCCCGAGTAACAGAGTCGAGGGTAGTATTAGATCGGAACAAAAGGTTTGTCCCCGTATTTCTTAATTTCATCAGGGAAAAGTTACAGTTCGAGTTAAAGTTAGTCCACCGGTGGAAACGGTATTACGTGGACATAAAGTAGACCGTTATCGCAAAACATGGGTTCAAATATAACTTCTCATCGCGGTAGTTTCTGTATCGGGTACTGCAGAATGGAACCTTTTAGATATAGGTCCTCTTAACCTAAACACATTATCTACGTATATTCTGGATAAGTTTATTATTATCCAATGTAACGATTACAGAAGAAGCTTTAAACATGTGTTTCTTTTCATCACATTTTCTACCGGTAAGTAAATATCGCTCGCAGGAAACGAAAGGGTTGTTTATTGAGAAATCGCGATCCAGACACAACTTGCCGACTAGTGATGTTGGGGGTAACTATAACGGAAAATTTTCGTCGGAAATGGGAATAACTCGGGATGCGTAAAGTGCATACAAATCCCCGGATTGACTCGGAGGATTTTTCCAATTTGATATTAAATCAACCGACTCGCAGTCTCAATACTTCCGTCGACCGTGAAAGCGGTTCGATTATGTCGAACGCGAAACAATCACTCGTGATACAACCTTAGGAGGAAGAAGAAAGGAAAGAGGTTGGAATACGGGCTACGTGACGAAACGAAGGATTTCTCTTTGTTTTCCGGACGTTTGTACTCTCCTTGGAACGAACGAATCTTCGAAGACTCTCTTTTTCCCGATTTCCGTTTTCTTCCCTCCAGGTAGCGAGACGAAGAAATTAAGGTGAGTTTACAGTAGACTCCGCAATAACTACTTCCGTCGCATCAGCTTGCTTGGGTTTAAATTCTTTCTCTAGTTGATTCGCTTGATGCGCTTAACGCAGAAGCATTCAATCGAAAAATTCTTGATACAGAAGGAATAGTTCTGTTTTTTATGTTTTACACGATGCAACGTATATTTTCATCATGTTTCAACTTGAGTACAAATTAGAGTAATTAGATGGGAGCAAAGAATTTTTTTTTGTATCCGTTTTGAGCCTGACTCTTAGATACCCTGTAGAGGGAAACACACGCTGTGAACTATTTACAACTGGATTCCGTGTTTCTTGGCCTCATCCTTGAACTTGAGCGTGTACTCGCCAGTTGGATCGTACTTCTTCTGTAGTCTCTCCCACGTTTCTGGTCTCTGAAATTGTAACGAAGAATTGTTTTAGACTAATTCGACATAATGAATTCCTTATATATATAAAGAAAAGAAAAAGCCAATAAGGAGAGGACTAAGAGAGAAAAACGAAGGGAGCAGCAAACTAACATCGACCAAGTTAATCGACGAAATGTCAGTGTAAACGGATTTAAGCGAAAAACGCTGTGATCCCTTGAGAGGGTGGAAAGTCGGTCGGACTGGGTGAAGTTACAAGGTAAGGGTGATCCGCGTGAAATTATTTGGTCCGTGGAGGAAAGTTCACAGAGTCCGAGGGTCGAATCGACGCCGAGCGTCCCGTGAAAGTCAAACCAGTTCCACGGCATTCAAAGTGGGCCGACGTGTGTGTCCCTGGTTGGACCACGGTTCGTGGTACGCGACTCGTAGCAAATTCGCGTCTAATTAGCCACGGAAAAGTGACTGTGAACGCGGACCACCTATGGGTGAGCGTACCTCGTTAATCAGAAACCGGATGACCTTCTCGCTTCCGTCCTTCTGTTTCTCGCTGCACTTGCTGCACCCATTTTCCAAAGCGTCCGGTAGGGATTCTGAAATCAAATCGAACGTTTATTAGACGCGACCAGTGTATTTAGGTAGGTGTTTACATTGCAGGTCTTCCTGAAAATTTCAATGTTTCAGCATACTTTCGTAAAAGCCAGATATTGAAACTCCTTCGTTCTTTTAAGGATTCATGTTTTCTCACCAATGATTATGTCAATATTTTAATATTTAAATGGAATTTCCGTACATCAAATATGTATGTGTCGGAACGGTAATATTCAACACGAGCTGATTACCACGTCAAAGTACGAACGTATCGATCAGATTTATCGTTTCCAGCACTTTAACATGGCGGCGGTTGTCTCATCGCTCATCATTCTCTGGCAGAAAACATGGAAATATGACGAAGTGCTTTTAAATAGGTTATTCGAGCAGCCGTACTTCTTATTTATTCCAGCCGAGGCGACCCGCTCGAGTGAACCCTACTTCCCGCGTAATCAACAATACCTTAGGGATTCCAAGAAAGAAGGGGCAGAGAAAGCGATAAAGAATTTGCCAAAGTGACTATAGATACTAGGGATGAGAATGAATTACGGTGAAACTGTGTTAATTGCCGAGTTCGACGGTAATGTGATTTTTCCTGATAATTATTAGAGCATTTAATTCTCTTGAATTATAGAAGAAAAAGTGCAGTGTAATTTCTAAATAATTAAGAAGATTAATGAATTGCCCTTAACTCGCTTGTGTAGTACTCAAACTAATCATATCATCTTCATTATTTTAAACTTTTGAGAACACTCGGGAATACGATAAACATTATTAAGGATAATATACTATATAAAACAGACAAAAATCTTTGACATCCAACATTTCCTAAATAAATTCCAAACAAACTGAGATGCAGAAGATCCAATTTATTCGAATCCCTTACAATAAAATGATATCCCTCAAACGACCTTGTGGCTCTACTTTCCATTCAGCTGTTTCAAGTTGAATAATTAAGGAACACTAAAGGAACTATTTAACATCGAATATTCGCGCAAAACGGAAAAAGGAGTAATATCCACACGTCATTTTGCCAATATACCCTGATATATGTAAGTGGACGTTTAAGAACAGAGTCGGATGCAAAGAAAAGACGACCCGACATTATAATTTTTCCCATATGACGCTCCCCATAGCCATATCGATCTCTGTAGGGCGAAGTTCATAAAATACGTTACTTCTGCGAACACAGGAAGCGAGGGAGGTTTACAGAGTCGAAGTCTTCTCGCAGCCCCCGTGTTCGCCTGACGTTTTTTTGCCGGACGTCATTTGCCCCAGCTGCTCTGGTCAGTACGACCGAGCGCATCGTTCGTGAATTCTCCGAGACAAGGACTATATTTCCCTGACAAAGTATCGCCGTCCATCGCACGTTTCGCTATGGTCAACAGACCGGGCAAAAGTGAAAAAGATCAAGAAGGAAATCTGTCCTGATGTGGTGATACCAGTTGACGTTTACGAGAAGGTCGCTGTCAATAGTATAGTGAAATACGTCCTGTCAGTGGGTGACCCGATGACGGAGTCGTTAAAATACGATCTGTCTGCAAATTGTTAGATTAGATTACAATTTTTGTCGAGCGGTAGTAGGGTCCTGATAATTGATTGGACGTGGTCCAAATTGGAACGTGTTCAAAAATGCAACTCTCTGGATCGTTAGATATAACAAAAATTCTATGCAACGCGGTACAGTTTAAAATTTCAAGAAAATTAAATTACCTATAATCGTATATCAACGATCGCATAATCGCGTCTAGTGGTCAGTACAATCACGTTGCCAGTTCCAAGCAACGTGTCTTTTAGGTAAGCAATAAAGGAGGTGGATTTCGTAAAGTCCACTTTTGAGAATCTAGATACGTGTGTTTAATTCCGTTTGACTTCGGTACCGAATCGCGACGCCGTTGAAAGTTATCCTCGAATTAATTTCCTATTAACCTCGAGTCGAAAACCCCTGCGGTTCTCGGGCAAAATTTTGCTTAGGATTAAATTCGATCGGAGTTCGATGTTCCCCCTGGCTCGAATAACACCAGTTCGCGAGGATCGCGATGAAAATTTCCATCGAGCGTTAAAATCTTTCCCGAGCTTAATCCCACAGCCGGCCGAGGTGCCGTGTTGCCGCGGAACGCTTCCCTGTCGGATAATCCGAAAGAATAATCACCGACGCGATAAATATTCTATATTGACGCTCTCGTGTCCCGCGGCGATTCGTTAGCCGCCGCTCCAGTGGAGAAATAATTTTCGATTCAATTAAGATATCCTGGGGACTAGCTCTCTCGCGATAACCGCGGGTACGCCGTTAACCGGGAGCAAGATAGAACGGTAGCCATCTTTTTAACGGGTACGTCTTCGCTGCTAATGACAGCTCGTTCCGAGACGAACGGCGTACGGCGAAGAGCTATTTTTCACTGAAGAATCATTACATAAGTAATAAGGAGCTTTTTTACGTTAGTATTGGTCTCGCTAGAAGATCTTTCTACTAGTTCACCTAAGCTATTCATAAAATTTTCAGGAACGAATAATCGTTCTGAATGATGAAGGTCTGTGGAATATGTAACTAGCAGAATTCGTAAATCTTTATGTTTAATGCATTTCTAGAAGTGTGAAACGTGCTTGAATTAAAAAGTGCACTGCAACCAACAGGTAGCGATGCATCGATAAGCGCACAAACTATTGCCACCTGGAACCGTAAACCGAACGTAAACCCTCATCCCCTCTGAAACTGAGATAACAGTGTTACTAGAACTTTTCTGCTTTTCACTACCTATGTAATTATCGTGGAAAATTGATACTTCGGAGAATTATTTTATACAACAGTTCATCCCTTCTTAATCTTTGCAGTATCTTTCTCAATAAGCGATAAACATCCTCCTAAGAATGTCGAGTAAATTTTTAACGTCGCGTTCCAAGTTCTCCGGTTTCCACGCGACGAATCTCAGGTGCACATACACCGTCGCCCCAGAAACACGTCTTCTCGTGGAACGTTCTCTCGAGAGACCCGTCATTCGATTCCCCAAACGGTGAATCAATCGGAATCACGCGATTCTTCTCGCCGTGGTGGCTCGTTTATCAAGAAACCGTGCGTGTAAACGGTCTTGATTGAAGATAGCAGAGAGACGGTTCGTCTTTCCGTGCGTTCGACTGTGGAAACGCGCGAGCTACGAAACACTAGCCGGTTCCCAGGGGATGGAGGTCTCGAACGAGGTCGGACAAGGGCTGGTTGGGTGAACGGTGGCGGAAGGCCGACCCGGGAAGCTGCGGTCTTGCAATCCGGCTTCTTTTTCGGCCCGACTCACTCGACTTTGACCCTCGTCCAATGTTTGACAGTGGTCTAGTACCGCGTGGCAACCCGCAAACTTTCCATCAACGACGTTGGCCGCTGGTTCGTTTAAGTTGTTTTAGAACCATCGCGTCGACGGTTAGGTCTCGTACGTGGCTTTGTTTCTATTTGCACAGAGCAACTCGAAAATATTATTCACTCGCGTTAAAAACAGACCACAGAAATTTCTAAAAAAAACGTTTCCCCGCGATCCAGCAAGTAGGAGGCGTCAGTAACGTGCTCGCATTAACCGATACTTGCACGTCGACTTACTTTTAAGCTCCTTGCCGTCGGGGGTGCAGCTTCCGTGTTCCAACAGGCAGTTTACGTAGTTCTTCAGAAGACGTTCGCTCCTCAGGATCTGATCCAAGTCGACGTTGTCGTACCTGGTGGTGTACTTCTCGGTTGCCAGGGCGCAGGCAACCACGGCGAGGAAAACAACAGCGACCTACATTCGCCGACGGGCAGAAAATCGGAAGTCTTTTATAAAGTGTATCCTCGAGATAAGGCCGCGCGCGACGCTGTAACGCCGAGCGACGAACAACCCCCCCCCCCCTTAAGGCGAGGCTAATAACAAAAACCGAGAGCCTTTGGGAAATCGTTATCGTTCCGCGGTGTTGGAATGGGATCGCGACGGCGAGGGATTACTTTCTTCTTGCTATAAATTGGCCCGCGCGATCCTTCCTTTCAAGGGGTGCGCTCCACGACTCCACGATACCTTAACCCCCCGCAATACGGAATTAAGGGTAATTTAATTCATTCAAAGTAATCCAGTGAAACCGTTTTTACACAGAAGTAACGAAATTAAAGATTGTTTTTAAACCTGTTAATGTTGCTATTCAAAGTTTTCTTGACTCAACCGTAGTGATTTCAAGTCATGAAACGTTTAGAGTTGCAGGCGACGCAAAGCTGCGCTTTTTTGCCGTGGTCACCGGAGAAATGAAACTCGTTGCGTGACTGTTGCGCCAGGCGTGCAACAGGATATCCGAATAGTCACGCGACCAGAGAGGCACGGCGATATCTTTGCCCCAGAGATCAAACGGCTCCTGCATAATCGAGTTCCAAGCTTCTCGGCCGCAGGGGAGGTAATTCCCTTTACTTTGCAAAATTTCGGGTTGAAAGTGTTTGCGGCGATCTCGCGATTTCTATCTGAATAATCTACGAGCACCTTTTTCAGTCTGGAACAAAGTACAGAGTTCCCTCGCTGTTCGTGTCCCTAACGCAACCTGTGTAATATCCTTCCATTTTTAAGGAAAACCGCAAAAAACTTCAATCCTACGAAGAAAAACACGACCCATGCTCGATACACGTGTTTCAGCAGGTTTGCACAAATAGCATTTAACGAGGCAATGCTGTGAACAATTATCATGTTGTGAACGAAGATATTGGGAACGTGGAAATATTAAGGAATCGATAAGGATACGCGTTTAGTATAAAGTGAAAGAATGGATCGGTAAAAGCTGTCAGAAAATTCCAATTTACGGCTTTGTTAGGCAACCGCGAAACTGGCATCGTTGCGGAAGATCCGACCGACGTTTTCAAGGATCGAAAAAGTTCGAAACAAAAGGGGTGGATTGGCAGTTCGGAGTCAACAGCGCTGTGTTCGTATCAACGTAAGAAATAGGAATACCCGATGTAGTCGCCCCGGCAACGTAGCCAGAAAGAATAATTTAGCCCCGGCGAGGTTGTCACTTGCAGCAGAAACGTCCTTTATTCCCTCGAAAAATTATTCGAACCGGGAAAATCGAGAAGAAAGACACGGTCGATGGATTCTCGAGCATTGAAACAGGGTCAAGCGGGAACCGGTTCCGAGTTTCGAAAAATATGCTCTACTCGCACGAGAGAATGAAAGCGGTTTAAAAAAATATACGTATCGGCTCGGTGAGAAATTCACCGCGTTGTTCCCAGTGTCGCGTATATGTACACACATTCCACGGTTGTTATCGACGGTACGTTCTGTAAACTGGTTGTTTTAATCACCTCTATAGATTCACCGAAACTGATCAATGATACGGATACACTGTCGTTTAAAAGTTTCGGTTTCCGTATTCGAACGGAACTGAACTTGAACTTTCTCAACGAATTAATTTGACGCCATAGTAGGTATTGTATAATTTTCTTTATATTTTTCGACAATAAGTCAGATACGAAGGGATTGACATTTTGACCATTGATTTGGGGATTTTTAACTATTGCGCGACACGGAAAGAGGATTGATCTGGTTAAGTACCAGTTTCCGCAGTTAAACCGATTGATACATCGACAGTTATCCTTGTCGAGCGGGGATAAGTTTGTCCCGTCAAGTGGAAGGTCGAGTAGCGTGTAACAGAATAGAAGATCGTGAATCTGATTGTGGACAGTTAATAGGATGCAATTAGTAATGCGATTCCGAGTTAAGTGGCTCTCGGGACTGATAGAGCCCGAGCCAAGACCCCCACTTCGCTACATAGTCCAGATACTGATAATATCGAAATTTAATATTCCACTGATCTAACCGGGATCCGATCTAGATTTAACCTGGCTTTTAATCCGAACTTAATGCAAATTTGCTTCGCGGCCGACGCATAACGAAGGCTCGGTGCGTGTACCCAAGGCGGGCGAAATCTAGACTTAGGAGACAACCGCTGCTTAGCCCGACCGATCCTGTTCTACACACTTAATCCACACGCGTAACCGGATTAGACGCCGACAATTCAGAGTTAAAACGATCCTGCGCAACGCTGTTCTCCAAGAATGCTGCAAGAAGTCGTCCTTGTTCGTTCTGTATGTAATTACCGTTCTACTAGAATATTACGAGGTACGGACAAAAAATAAACGGACATTCGGAACCTTGTTGTGTATTCAACGCGACTGTCGTACATTATAGTTGCTCTCGTCTCTTTGGATCACTAATTAGTTTAAAATGTGTGTTCCAGTGTAAAATAACAACAACATTCTATTTTTTCAATCCTTAGGAGTTGAATCCATACATTGAACCCCAGAATTTAACAACAATGAGTGTTTTATTGGCAATATTATCCATGACTGGACTAACCGATTAAAAAATTGCCGAATTTTTATTCCTTTTCGACAAAAACTTAATGGAATTAATGTATAAAAATGGCAGCACATTTCAATCCTGCAGATTGTATTGAAAATTTATTTCATCTTCTTTTGCTTGGAAATCATTTTTCGGGGTAGATTATTTAAAATTACTCCGGCAACATTTTGGTTACGGTGGACATCAGACCATCAATCTCTCAGTTGAATTTTTCAGTTCGTGGCAACTTTCTGGACCAGAGTATCTTTCATCTGTATATTTGTTTGGGATCTCCTTATCCCAACTAAATCTTAAGAAGATGAAAGTTCCATCCACGCAGGATGAACTCGTTCCCGACGAGGCGCTCATCCTCTATACTTTATACTTTCAGCCACGGATTCGCGTATCCCACAAAAGGGGGGAACAGCTACATCGTGTTGGCCGATTTATCGGCTTCTCGCCGCTAAGTGGTTCGTCGTTTTTAAAGTGGCCCAAGGCCAAGGGGATGGGGAAGCGTTAAATATCTGTCGTACAGTTATGTATGGACAAATTGTCGTCGGACGGCATACATTATAATTCGTCTCTGGTATACGATTCGCGCCATCAAGGATTTTCAAAGCGTCCGACCTAGACTTATCAAGAATATACATGACCAATGTCACCACGGTGAAGAACGACCCATGATATAAATCTGATACTCTTCGACCTCTTCGGTTCATTCTTGGTTCTGTGCGCTTAAAGGCCTATGTCGCCAGTGTTGTTGTTGATATTACGTTGTTACACGTGAAATGACTGATTTCCGTATGCTCCGCTGCTTTTAGATTTGTCACCGATCAATTCTAACTAATAATAATCAGAAGCAGAAACGTAACCGGAGTATTGACTTACAGCGAATGAGGAAAACGACAAGGAAGATTGATCCAAGAGGAAAGAAAATTATCATAGCCACATCAACGTAATCCAAGAAGCTAAAAGTATGTATCTGTCTCACTGACTATGGACCCCTTTATACATGTCTAGAGTTCATGTTCCTCCCTACCACATCGCGGTTGCTATAATAATGTCACGAGTTCCATTACCCCACATTCTTATCCCCCTGCTAAGGAGAAAGTGATTGCAATATTATACATACATATGTTACACCACGTTTTGCTCCAGCCTTTTCCTTCGATGTGTTCCGGTCTTCGAAACCCGTCCTCATCGATCATTCGACCGTTGGAAGGATTTTCAAAATCCCGTCTGGACGGACAAGAAGCGAGAATAGATCGAACGACGGCGCCCACGCAACAATAATTCCCGCGCAACTAAGAGTCGCAGGTCTGATTGGGAATATTTGTCTACTACACGGCTCTTTAAAAGACCGTAACGTCGATAAAATTACAGAATCGATGCCAACGCCGGCGTATGCGGCACACGTACATACGTAAACCCTATGACGCAATCACGGCCGTTACCATCGAGGAATGCTTCCTAACGCCTTTCACTCCCGCAAATAAATTTTACCTTTTCGCCTCTTTTTCCGCTTTTTTACCAAACACCGAACGATGCTCGTCACGAAAAACATTTTTGTTAAGCGGGCAGAAGCTACATAGCTCTGTCAATAACTTCACTGTTGACCTTCATGACACCATGAGTCTCGCTAGCAATTTCGGACAAACATTAAGATATTACACAACGTTCTATACGCTATAATTTCAAAAGCAAACATCTATTTATAAAATTTAAATATCATGGAACGTTTCCGTATTCTAAGGATTCCGTAACTGATCGTTATATCAACGATAGCACCATCTGATCGATCTGTCGGAAAGGGACGTTTTTCGGAATTAACACGCCATAAGTTTTATGGTTCAGAAATATTTTCTGCCGACACGTTTATGCACACTACCAGTGTAAAATATTTCTATAATAACGTTTCAAGTATTGATTGTTCAATTACGTGCAGTACAAATTCATGTGTAAATTAACTGCAATATACAATGACTGAGAATTGAAGGCCGACATAATAAAATGGTAAAAAAAATGCCAAATACTACCGTCAGTGATGACGAAACAAACGATTTTACCTCCGACTGGAAATTTAGACGGAATGTTTCGATCTCGACCAACGTCGATAGAATCTTTCTTCGCGACGCAAATCCGAACCATGAAATGGAAACCTTCATGCGTCAATGCTAGAGCAAACCTCACGAAGAACAAAGTAAACAAGAGGGCAGAATTCGAGGCGAATAGCATGGGCGCGCCAGGGATGTGCAACGTTTGACGAAATGAAACTTTTCGTAGCAGAAAAAGGCTAGCCGTGTTCACGGTTAATATTATTGAAATACTCAAACAGACCCCCAAATGGTGATCTCTCGTGAAAGAGAGCTTTTTACGGGTGCACTTTCAGGCATGGATTATCTAAACTTTGTTTCAAAGCGATACCAGTGTGTAATGCAGAATCTTATAATCTGTTAAAATTATTCAACTGCTACGGTCTATTGGTCTCGTAATTACATCTCGTCACTTGTTACAATATTCGCACAATCAGCACTTTCTACATCGACACGATTGAGAATCACAACCAGATTTATACTGCAATAATATTAAAAGATCACGCTGTTAAGCGGAAACTGTTCATCCTACGAAGAATTTTTACGAGGCTCTAGATAATCGAAACACCTCATTAACCTACTTTAACTATTCGCTATACACAGCTTGAAACAATCGTCTACTATTTATAAATGGATAAATCTTCTGAATATGCGTTGCCCCTGTTCCGACGGCGTAATCCACTTACAAGAAAAACCTAATGTAATAACCGTAAACGCGTGGTGCCATAATTCGAGTACCGTGTTGGACCGTCGTCGGCGATTAACGCCGAGCAAGAGCATTTAGGAGCATAACTATAAGGAGGCTGAACGTCTTTCGCGGCTCATTAAGTTTCACCGCGTGCGACTACTCGAGTTATCGCGCGCCTGTAGGAAGGCTCGCTGCTGCGGTGCCGTGTCGAAGATCGACCTGGTAGAATACGCCACGGGTACATCTAATTTGAGAAAACAGCACGCTTGAATTCGAAACACGTCCACAACCGGGCGCACCTTTCCTCGGTTTGTTCCCCGTAAAATTCACGGACGTGTCCTGCGACACGTAAGGAGAATAAGCCAACCAGGGATTATCCCCGTTTCATCGAGGCTGCCGAAATTATCGTTGAACCACTTAAATCTGCGTTTACGGACCTACTTGAAACCGTATTATGCATCTCTCTAATTCGTGTCACTGTTGGAACCAGTGATTAAATAATCTGCTGTACATTTTCTGAATCGTGATGTACCAACGAATATAGAGTGATAACGAAATATATTTACACACTCACGAACTTGTTTTACAGCAAATGCATTAGCTGCAAAATAACTTCGAACAGTCGAAAATAGAATGTAATTATGGAAATTTGAATTTCGTAATGTGTCGTGTATCTGTAAACGCGATGTTGTGTTAATTGCACCTACTACAATAAAATGTAACGAAACCGTACTCCGTCGGATTGAGCCACTACACATGATTCGAGTATATCATCCAGAGTATAAAAAGTTACTCAACGAATTGTTTAAGATAAACGCCTAATGACATATGAATATTAACGCAAAGGCTACCCCGAATGCTACACTCGTGTACTGAACCTTATCAAAGCAACCCAGCGGATATTGCAAAAGCTAGTTCTCCTGCTAGAAGAGTCATAGGACAAGGGGCAACAGCAGTGGAAAAAAACTAAAACTAGCATGGGGGAAAAAAGTGTGATGGAAAAAGATACGTGGTGTCGCGGAGAGGAGGGGCCAGGACGGAACGGAACAGAACGGAAAGAGAAAGGATGAGGAAAAAGTGGCGCTTACCTTCATGTTGGCAGCTTGTGTCGAGCAGGAAAGCGAAGTTAAGCGTGACTGATGCTGGCTTCGCCGGCGATCAACTGTTTTATACCCGGCCGTTTGCCCAGCCTCCGAATTCGTCGGATCGGTCCCGCTTCTCTTTCTCGCACCTGTCTCTGCCCCTGCTCCGACCTCCACAGTCGCATCGGTAAGGCTCGACGTCGGACGAGGCCGGGAGACACGAAGGAAGGGGACACCACGGAACGAAAGGTAAACGTAGTCCGTGAATTCTAAGAATTACGATGACACGTGCCCGTTAACGGACAACACGATGTGTCCACCAATCTTCCCTTTTTTTCTTTTCTTCCAAGAAAATTAATGCTCCGCTTCTTTTGCCGACCGGCCAGCCAATTCAGCGAACGCCTTTGGTGATGGACCACCAAAGGAAAAGATCGTTGTTTATCCGCGAGTCCGCCATTTATTCTCTCGACTGCTTTGCCTCCAAACGACACTTTGATATATAGATATACATATACACCTAGACCATGTACTTTTTGCTCTATTCGAAGCTTCGCTGAACCTCTTTGGCCGTCCAGAGTTAACCTATTGTCGCTCTTTTTAGGAGGATAAAATGGAAGAGTCCGTTGGACAGATTAGAGGACACCCCGGCAACCTTGAGGTGTACGACGCCTCTATCGAGATTATTTCTTGGGCAACATTAGCCGTCCATTTCGGTCCAATTTAATCCCCATTGTCTCAATCTTTTTGATCCAACGTTGTCTGGACTAGAAGCTTCACCCTATATGGGCACAATTTCAGGGGCAAATCGGATCCATAGGATGCGGACGCAATAACACGCAGAACGGCTTCTCGTGGATGGAATGCTGCACGGGGTTAGGAAGATGATTAAGCGAACCACTGTGTGCGGCTTTTTTATTCAGGGCCAGGAGACGCGTACGCGAAACGCATACGTTTTCAAAAATCCCGGAAAAAAAATTCGTTATGCCGTGATTATATCGTGCCAACGAAAAAGGACAATATTTCACGGTGTTGCTACCACACGAAGAATAACAACGTGCTACCAAGCAGTTTCGAGGAATTCAAGTTTGTGAGAATGAGAGATCGGCGTGTCACGTTCGGGGTATTCAAATATTTTTCAGCGGTTCGTAACGCTTTACGATTGATGGACCAGCGTTTCTATTAGGTCCAGTTGCGGGTAACTTTCGTCGAAAATGACGGCAGTTTACTTTCCTGAAAAGCTGTACAACCCACTCCGGTGTAGTACCAAATAAATGGCAGCAGAGTGTGTTCGCTTTTCGGTGAATAATTGATTCGAAACTTTTAAGCGATGGTAATTGGCTGGTTGAACAAGCGGAACTCTTTAATACCGAAAGTTAACGCTTCCGTAATTGTTATTATGCCTCCATAAACGTACCAAATGGTTATAGAAAATCACCGCCAGGTTAATATTATCGTCAAATCTGCAAATATAGGTACAGTTTGCTTCGATCATTCAAACGCAAGATGTTAATTCCTGAATGCTAATTTATTTATTCCGCGATTGCGTCATCGGGAACGCAAAATGGCCGAGGATATTTGCCTAATTATGCAGTTCTGGAATAAGTTTATTTGAAATATAATTTATTACCAAATTGTGCTACCCGTTGATCCTGTCGTGACGTAATAGCCCATAAAGATCTAGGTCTTAATGGACGCGACTGACAGTGTGTTTCCCCTACCAATTTCGTAACAGAAACTCTGGAAAAGTCCATAATTCTTCCTTCAAAGAAGTCCCGACCTACGTGCGTACATACTCTTGACAACGTTCGACGATCCTTCGCAGTCCATATTAGCACTGGACCAATGTTTACTCGCGCGTTACTGTCGTTCAACAATTGCATCACAGACGCACCGTAACAGAAGAAATAACTAGAAAATAACGTTGATTTATTATGTGACCATAACGTACATATATCAGGTTTAGTGAAATCATTTTACCTCTGATTAGTGTCAGCTGAGTCATTCGTACTACCACGGATCAGTGTTACCTCGGTGATCTTTAAACTGAGACATGGGATATGCACAGTGAATATAAAACGTATTTGCACGCTCGTATTTCTTATAATAAATATAACGAATTGAGCAAGAAATATACAGTAGTAAAAAAACATTGCTTTGTATAATCTAAGATTAGCCGTGTCAATTGTTCCAAGGTTAGATTCATGAGTAGGTAAGTGTTAAGTAAAAAGAATCTAACATTCTCCAGATAAAAGAACAGATTCAGGAAAACTAATAATATGAGTGATTTGATGCGGAACCCTATTAAAGGCGTCCCACAAAGGGATTTGAGTTTGCATTCCACCGTGATGTTCCCTGAATCTGAGTTGTTCTCGGCTGAGTTCGTTAGCAGCATTCGGAGAGGAAGATCGCAAAAATGATGTTTGGCCGGCATCGAGTCAAGAGGCGTTTCGTACTTCGTTAAATCTTCCCGAGGAATCACGATCGGAAAAACTTTTAGTGTCACGCTGGAAAATTCGAGAAAGTTCTCCCGGGGACAAGCTTTTATCGAGGAGGATGCAAATGGGATGCTGTATTATACAGGCTGGCTCAAAAGGAATAATGAAATTATGAGAAATTTATCGCAGTGTAAAAACTACTGAAATCAATAATTTAAAGGTAAAATATTTCCTAAATTTGCGACGTAAAAATTGCATATTGTTATATTTTCATAGTGTGTTTATAGAAAATTCTCCACTGCCAAAATAATGGATTTTAAGGACACAATAGATAGTTAGAAGCAGTATTCGCAAACGCAATTCGCTTTATCGCGCGATTAGAATGAACTAACATTATGTGCTCGTTTAGATGGAATGTTTGATCGAGAAGCAACTAATACCAAAATACCACTACCGTTAACGTGATCATTGTAGAAGGTGGCGAGTACCATTAACTATTTTTAATTATATATTTGGAAAGCGAAATTAATAACAAAATGGGTAAGCCTTGCTTCATACTTTGGCAACACAATAAAATATTACGAACGTCGATATTAAATGTACATACTATATAGTCATATTAAATGAATTGAATATGGCGCATGTGTAATCAAAGATTGAATATGTTTGTAGTGCAATAAAATTTAAGACTGAACAACTTTAATTTATGACATTGCTTTAATATGACCGCCGTTGGCTACCAAACACGTTGCAACTAACGGTATAACTGATTGAGACCGTGGAACATTTCAAAGTTATGAACGTTTTTAAATATTTCAAGTCATTTTACACAAGTGTCATTTGTAATTTATATTACAAAATAAAATTATTTTTAGAAGAAATATCTTTAGGGATTGTGAATCTACTAGATATTTTATTCAAGAAAATTAAAACCGAAAGATCGAAAATCTGTTCGTTAAGTCCTCAACTGCTCTTGACGCGCGTCTTAATAATAGCCCGGGGTAATTAATTATCTCCATGCAAATAGCAATCCATCTTCTTATTTTTCCAGCAATTACTTTGGAATATTATTATCCCCAGAATAATTAATTACGTATTCTATTTTACCGGTGACTAAATGTCGTTTCCGGAAGTCCGCATCGTCATTCGAATTTTACCATTTATAATTGTTACGCCGCTTTTGTTTAAATTTTATCGCTCGCCTCTCTTAACATATTTGGTTTACTATTCCTCCTTAAAAAGGACTTCTTCTGACTTTTAAATGGAGGATATCAAATTTTGGCAACGCGTGACTCGTGAATATGTAAAACTAGCGTTGATCGTGTAAAGGTGAAGCAATGGTGACTACAAAAAGAAGGATCAATAGAGCCACTTAGTCGACAACGCCGTCTCAAAGATTCAGCAAAAAGACAAATAACCGTAAAAAAAATAAGAAAATAAGTACCAATTTTTTACCGAAACAAGCACGAAAATTCAAGGTCTAACAATAAGAATAAAGTAAAATTTCTTCTCAAATAAGTAAACATTCATCAAAACAACCGTTTAAGTCGTTTCAATTGTTTAAAAAGTCAGGTTGAAACGTTCAGATATTATTTCGTTTGAATTCGTCTGATTCCAAATAAAATTAGGAACTTACTCTGGGTCCGAACGCTAGGGATATTCCTCATTGTACGGGGTTCGACGAATAGCGGTGGAGGTACGAAGGGGCTCGTCCCTCGCGATGGTTGCTTTTACATTTTGTTTTACACACGCATTTACGTATTAAGACTGGCTGAATGCGCCGCTCTGAATTTGTATGTGGAATATTCCATGCAAAATCGCGGCGGTGCTCGGCGTCGTGTCCTCGTTCGCTTTGAATTTATTATAACTTCGCTCGCAAGGATGCCTGTCCGAATGGTACCGTGACGTCTACCGAGCTTGTTCTAACAGAAATTCAATTCGTTGGCCTCACTCGTGAATGCAAAGGTATTCGGGCAGCAAGATCCAACACCGCTCGATCGGTCCATCATCGTCCCTCGTTAACGCTCGTAATTAAATAATTTCATTTCCCTGCAATCGCGTGGCCTGTAATCGATCGAAATTCACGCAAATTGTTCCGAATAAATGAACGATATAGAGGAACGTGTAATCGGTTAATTGACACTGTCGATCGCTCCATATTAATCTGCAATAATGACTGTTAAGCCCCATAACCGATTGTTGCAGTCCCAATGAACAGTACAAGATCGTAGTCGAATGCACAGTGACAATATTCGTTAACAAAGAAATGTCAATCCCAGAAGTCCAGACCGAATATATTTATTTAGAGGTTTCAAGATCCTATTTCTCGAAATTCAGAATCCAACGACATATCCTACTCTACCTCTGACACTGAGACATTTAAAATAACCGTTAGAACGTGATATACCGTGATCGAAATCCGCAAGAAATTATCATAAACATTTCTCTGCTTGAAATTTAAATTGCTTTATCGACTAAGCAACTTTTGCTTCCGTTCAAACGTTCGGCGGCCAATCGAAAAAAACTTGCGTCATTAGCCCGGAAGTTTCGCCATTAACTTTTCCAATTTTTATGAAAATTGTTGCGCGCGCCGCGAACGATCGCGCGTACCTCGTAACGGTGATCGAAAGCGCCTTTTTTCGTTTCTTTTTTCTTT